GGGACGTAACAGGGAGAGCCGGGTGAACCCGGACCGCCGGGACCACCCGGTCCGCCAGGAGCCGAGGGTCTTCCCGGACACGAGGGCAGACAGGGGATACCGGGCGAAGTCGGCGCGCCAGGGGAGAAGGGCCCGCCCGGGCCGATGGGCCCCATCGGCCCGCCGGGCACACCAGGACTTGCAGGTCCCAAGGTAAGTCTGAAAGATTAAACCAATCCGTATCTCCGATTACACATCGATCATCTCTCTCCTCCCCCCTTTTGCCCCTGTCTTTGGGACATCGGGGTGTCGAGTGTCACCCCGTTTTCGAAAAGCTTTTCGCGATCAGCGTACTCCTTCTTCGTGACAGGTGCACTGTCACGAAAGGGGTGAAAATAACATTTTCTTAGAGAATGCACCGGGATTAAAAGGAATAAGCGATCTATTTTTGAAAGATTCTTCTATTCGTCCCTTTTTAATATGTCAGATTCTTAAAAGATGTCCTGTAAGAGATTTTTGTAAAGTTCTATCCAAAAATCTCTTTTCTCTCTATTCTCTTTTTAATATATAATTTCTGAACATGCTAAAAGAATTATTATGAAAATAATTAAGCAAAGTTGAAATTACAACATTGAAATTAAAAATATATGAAGCTATGCATACAACGAAGACCCAAAAATTATCCTCCGAGTAATAGTGAATAATTTTCACTGATATTAATTAAAAATATGCATTAAAAGGATTCGTAATTATCCCTAGCAGTGTTACGTGATAATAATGTAGGATTAAAAAGGGAAAGCGAACAGCGAAAAATATAATGTTGTTAAAATAAAATTTCCGCGTATAAACATATCATATATCATGTTTACAAGATAACATAAATAGATTTTATTTGCATAAATATGTTATATCATATCGTCGTATAAATTACCGGCCCCGCTGAAGGCCGAGCTGATAATGCGGAATTTAAACTTAACTTTATTTACCTGATAGGAATTATAAAGCACTATTTCACGCATAATCGTGGCTTGCGTATTTCGAAATATCAAACGTCCGATACCGTGTACAAAATTCCGCAGGGAGTGATTTAATATTACGGATATATCACCGCAGGTAACCACGTTATACCATGGAATTATGTAATGATTACGCGCCGCGCGCTTTCAAGTACGTGGTTTGAAACAAATCCGGCTAATCTCGTGGGATTTTGAATTTCTCTCAAATTTCAACAGCGTCCTCAATTTCAGCTTAATCGTGAGCGATGAATCTTTCAGTCCGGCCGGACGCGGGCGCAAATACGAAAAGAATATACGCGTTGCTTTTTCGCATATGAACTTTTCGCGGCTAAATAAAATGAGCTTGCGCGTGTGGCCGTCGGGGGAAAAAAAGAGGCGCAACGTTACGTAGATATTACGCACTTAATATTACGCCATTCAAGAGGTTACGTAACCGATAATTATTAATGGAGTACAACAGAGCGATTACAGAACAATGGAGTATTAATTACGTCCGGCGCATTGTTAATTTAATCCAACTATAATTAATTACATTCGAAAGCACGTTCCTGCATATTAATTGCGACGCTTGATACTGCCACGATAAAGGATCATCAAACGTTATCCATTTAGGAAAGTGTTCTTTTAATTAACCCATCGTATGCGCTGGACAGTATTGTCGCGGAAAAAGAACGATGATAATTTCATTTTCAGAGAATAATTGTCGTAATGAAGCGCGTCTGTGAGGGGAGGTTATACACGCGAATGCACGCGATAAATATCCAAAAATCATTGAAAGTTTATTTTTGACAGGGTGACAAGGGTGATAAAGGCGATCGAGGCTTCACGACGACCTTGAAGGGTGAGCAGTTTCCAAGTGGAGTATTCGAAGGCCCACCTGGTCCACCAGGACCACCTGGTAAGCATACGAACGAGATGATCTACATACGAAATAAATGATTAAACATTAAACATCAATTACATCTTCGTGAGGAATACGAAAGCGGCGTGACGGTAATTCTCTACGAATTTTTCACGAAAATTGTTTATTTCGTCAGCATTTTATTTAAATTAGATGTTTCAGCTTTTTTAAATTGAAAAATCATAACGGAAGCTTATTTTTTTTTAATCTCTTATTTACATCGTTATGCTTATTTTTCATTTTCTCGACAGTATTTTGCATTTCTTATCTCATTTATTTATTATGCGTTTAATAAGGATTATTACACTTATTTTCATAATTTTTATATATACAACGAAAAAATTATGAAAAGTTTAGATTATTCCAAATTGCATTTAAAAATAATACAAAAGGATTTGGCAGTGATTTAAAATGTGGATTTAAAAATTTATTTAAATAAATAAAGTGCTGTAATGGAAATGTAATTAAGAAATAATGACAAAAATCTCAACTTTTTTTATGTAAGCACTTCAATTATTCAAGATTATTTATTATTAAAGTTTCATTGCGTTATAGAAATTACTTATTCCACAAGAAATTACTTATTCTAAAAATTTAATTTGTATTCACCGAATAATTAATTTCTGCATCATAATGAAACTTTACATAAATCATCTTGGATACTTAAGATACATTCCAAAATTGAGATTTTTGTCATTATTTCTTAATTACATTTTTATTAAAGCACACTTTCTACTTAATAATTTTTTGTCGAAGTTCTAAACCGCCGTAATATATTTTATATTTTAAATATGATCTAGAATAATCAATAATTTTTTCATTATAAATAAAAATAGGTGTAACATATTCTTAAAATCTATAAACGTTTTTTATTAAAACGATACTTTCCTTGTTCGGTGTGCGTTAATTTCGACACCTTGTAATCTTTCTTTCTGTGATTCGCTCGCGGACAGAATTCTCTCGATGGACAGCGCGCAATTAAGAAATTATTGTGATCCACGGGAGAATTAAGTCAGATCGATCATGCGGAATCGGAACGCGACGCGGCATTGAATGTCGTTCGTGAATCGATTATCTCCGCGCGTCGGCGTGGCTCCGGGCGAAGAAAACGCGGAAATGTTTGACGAGGAAATCTCGACTTGGATGACCATGCAGGTTCCTCTCGAGAGGATCGAGAGGCGATCGCGGTTGTACGGTGGGCGTGCACACGTGCTGTGTGTCTCGCTCGTGTAGTAATATATGCGGCCGTGAGCAAATCTTTCTTTACCATTCGCGCGAGCCTCCTTTTTTTCTCGTACTCGAATCGGGCGTTAACCCTTCGGGAGTTGAGCGTCCTCGAGGAGCACCGTCCAAAAAAGTGCGCTACACATTTATATGCATGCCATGGTGTCCCGTGAAATTTGTACAAAGTGATCCCGCGAAAGGAAAAAAAAATAGCAATTGCGAGAAACGTTGGAAAAATTTTCTAGCGAGAGGGGAAAAAACGAATATTCACGCTACTTAAACGCATTAAAGTACATAACTTCGAACGCTTTTTGCAGTTTGGAAGTGAGTACGTAAAATGTGATAAACGAAAGTAAAAGAATTCAAAAGTAAATGTTGTAATTTCGTAGAAAATTGTGAATTGAGTGTTTTTTTTTTTGTCGTGGCGCGATTCGAATTTCGTCGAGCTGAGGATATTTAATAAGGCTAACGTTACGCGGCCGCGACTGACGGCGTGGAATTTCCATGAAATATTCGTCGGGGAAAAATCACTTCTAAGTGCAACCGAGAAATCTGTAATCTCGGGGAACTGTCACGACAATTCTCTGAGATACTCTGCGCGTAAAAGATTCAGACCTGCTTAAAATTACAAGACAAGAGACACCACGCGCAACGCTCCTCGTGAATAGTGCAAAGGGTAATAAATGCACAGTGAGCTCCTGACGCATGGCGTCTGCGAGCGGAAGCTAAGGAATATCTCATCGTGGAAGGACGAGCGCGCGGCTTAAAAAATTTCAACCCTCTTCGCGCCGATATCTCACGACTCGGTCGTTCGTCAACATTTGCGCGCCTCCCGCCTCCCCGCCGTCCCGCCGCGCAATGGCGAGAAAATGATTTACGATCGCGAACGTATTCAGAATCCGATCTCGCTACTCGTAAACGACCGTTTAGAGCGCAACGTGTTGACCGTGATACGTCGAATATTGGCAGAAGCGTCGCGAGTATCAGTTACTGCCTATGTCGCGATATGATTGATCCGCGAGAGAAACTCCGCTTATAATTGAGTCATCGGAAACACTGGCACAGTTGTAGTTATGCTCGTTAGAGAATCATTTAATTACTTGAAAGGGACCAGCGGAATAATAATCGGAAGTGCGATTTGTGCGAATAAACAAAAATAATCATTTTCCGAAAACAGATTCGTTTCACTCGGATGGATTAATCGTCTCTTTATGAGAGGTAATTGGATAATATCTCTTTAAGGTAAAATTTTATTTTAACCAAGAATAAATCAAAGAGAGAGAGAGAGATAAAGATTTTAAAAGGGACTTAACGGAAAAGAGCGGATTAAATACCGCTTTTTCGTCAGACCTTGCGAATTTTAGATGAGAAGCTTTCCCGTCGATCTATCTATCTTCGCGCGCAAGAAAATAATCTAGCTATTGATAAGACAGCTCCTCGGCGATATCTCGTACCGAGGATAACGTCGCGGAAAGCGTCGTGGATAGTAACTGCGAGTCCGAGGCATTCGACGGAACGAAATTACGCGAACGCTAATCCGTCTTTATACCGTTGTGCGACGACAGCGGAGAACCAAGGAACCACGGGTAACAACGTTCCCGGGCATTATACATGCGCGCCTGACAGAATTAATTTAGCCACATACAAATCCGTCTCGCAATTTCACGGCACGAACTGCAACGAGCGCAGAAACTCCGCTACTGTCGATATTGTACAAAGTCGTATTTTAGAATCAACGACGCGCGCCGCGCGACGTATTTACTTTGCTCGATGCGATTCGCTCGGACGATCCTCGTCGAATTTCGTCGTTTTTTGTGCGCGCGGGAATTTTTACGGTTGCAAAAAATTTTCGCACTTTATGATATAAATAATACGTAGAAAAGCCAGCTTGCGCATCGTAAGTTAACGATTTACGAGTAAAAGCGATATTTTCTACTCGCTAAAGAAAAATAAGTAAATTTTAAAGTTATTGTACTTGTCAGAGAAGCTTCTTACAGAATATAAAGGCTTTTCATGAAAGTATATCGATATTACAGAAGTGAATAAATGTCACTTTATTACTGGCGAGCAAATGAAAAAGAATTCTATTATTCAGATATAAAAGATTGTTCTACTTTGATGATAGTTTTCGTTGCGATGTATACTATATACTTGTCTCGTCTATCTGATAAGAAAAACGGATAAAGAAGACGCGAAAAGTCAATTTTATTACAAAATTAGTAACATTAGTAAAATGAGGTTAGAATATAATTAAACTCGCTACATGTTAATTAGACGATATTTGAGAGATTGTAATTTCAACTCTTTAGTCGTTTAAACCCTGATCAATAACGTCACGTTCGACGTCGAATTTACACGAATTGCAACGTTTCAGTCGACTTATGTTATAAAATTTCCTCACATAATTTATTGCGTTATTTTGAAAATCGCCGCAAGCCGCGTTCCCTCTCGGGGCAACTACTTCCGTAAAGTACGATCACGCGATCCGTCAAACGCCACTTGGCGTTCGAGCACTTCGAAGAGAGAATCTTCGAAAGCGCCGCCGATCCCGGAAATCCCCGCGCGGCTTGTTCGCGTGCGTGCATGCGTGCGAACGAGCTAGCGTGGTGTGCGGGCACCATGTCTCATCTTATCCACGGCACGCAGGATCCCCGGGCGAGAAGGGAGAACTGGGCCCGACAGGACCGCCCGGCCTGCCCGGCGAGAAGGGTGCTCGGGGAAAACAAGGGAAGAGGGTAAGCTTCAGCGAGGTCCTCCGACCGCCGCCGACCATCGACCAAATCAACTCCGTACGACCATCCGCCGTCCTCACCCACCCTCTCCCTTCCCGCCCGTCCATTCGTCCGACCGATTCCCGTTATCCGTTGATTGAATCCGAACGTACAGGAAGCAAAAAGAATTAAAAAAAAAAAGAAAGAAAAAAGAAGGAAAGAAAGAAAAAGGGATGGTCCATCCAATCTGTTCCCCGATGTCCCGTGTCCTCTTGAATCCCCTCTTGTTGCATCCCGCGTCCCGCATGCTGTGCGCATGCTTTGCATGGTAGCAAAACATACATCGAGCACTCACGTCCAACGTTCGTTGATAACGGCATGCCTCTTGACTTGGATGTCATTATCTGGATCTCCTAAATGCGTAGCATGACATAACCGTAGCTCTCTTCCGCGTGGGATACGGTCTGTTTTTACATCGCGTCACAACACATGCCTCTCCAGTATCTATATATAGGTACATGTAAATCAAGGGTGGTAGCGTCAGCGAGCGTTTCCGTCGCGCGGCCCTAGATTGCCTGATTTGATATTCCCGATTACGTCACTCTTAATTCCTCGTTTTAATTGGAGGAGCGAGTCTCTCTTTGCGCGTCGCGCTGCGTTTACATTTCGATTTTATCACATCACGTTTGCTTGCTCATATCCGCGAGATCACCAATCAACCTAATTTGAGAGGAATTAGTAAAAAATTAATCAACCCCTCCCCGATCTTTGCCGAGTGACAATTTGACGTATTTCAGCTTTCCGCATTAATTATCCCCCGGCGAGTAATCTCGAATTTGAAATCGCGCACTCTCTTCGCGTTTCTCCTTCCGAAGATTTCAATCTCGTTGATCTTCTCTATTTTTATCGATTAAATAACTCTCCGGGCAACTCCGGGGAGAACAAACGCCGTAATTCTTCTATCCGCGCGAAAAACGTCCGTCTTCTTTTTGCCCACCCTCGTCGCTCCTTTTCGTCTTCTTGGCTTTTAACGCCCTACTTTTCGAGCGTCGCCGACGTCTCGCGCTTTTCCCGCGGAATATTAGATTTTGCAATCCCCGAGATCTCTCCGGTCCCCGAAAAGCGACCCTCCCGTCATCGCTGCGAGACGCTTCGACAGGCAGCAGCAGCAGCAGCACGCGTGCGCGCGCGCACGTGCAAAGCACGGCACGGCACGGCACTCTTCACGCAGTCACGCGAGCATGAGCACGTACGTCACTCCGTCACATTTGCATTGTCGATAAACTGCAGCCGAACAGCATCGTCACTCGGTTACGGGCCGAGGGAAGTTCTTGGTCGTGAGGCGATTTGTAATCTCGCTTCACGGAGATGTTTACACGATGGAATGGGGACGCGCGACGCGAAGAAAACAGGGTGAATTTGCTTCTGGAATTTGAGCGCCGCGTACAAAATTCAGTTTCGATTAATCGCTCATCTTATTTTTCAGTATACAATGTAAAATTAACAAAGCTTTTGTTATCGACGGTTTTTAAATGCGGTCGCATATACGTATTCGATCCTGTGTAGAGTCGAATAATGTCGAGTCCAAAATTCATATCTTTATAAATTGACCACGGAAAATATTCATATGTCATTTATTATTCGGCATTGTTGCTGCGGTATTGTTACAATTGTCGCTCTCGTCGCCACATTTGATTCGAATATATCCCTTTTTTTTTAATCGCGACGTTTTCTCGCGTCTCTCCTCGTGCGGGAACTTTCCTCGTGTCCATCCGCGAAATTGCATACGTACCTCGAGCGACTGTCGGGACTCGTCCGTCCCATAAAAAAATAGCGAAAAAAAGGAAACTACGACACGGAAAATGAAAAGAGAAAAAGAATAGAGTATAGCAAGCAGGAACGGAAAGTAAAAAAAAAAAAGAAAAAAGAAAATAAAAAAGAAAGAAACGTTGGTGGCAGCAAATAACACGTATACCCATATTGCGGTATCCGAGGCTTCTCCTCGGATTCTCTCTCTTTCTCTCTCTTGTCACCCCCTAACTGTCTCTCTTTTGTTTTCTCTCTACGTCTCTTTCTCGCTCCTTTTTTTCTGTCGTTTCTATCCCTCGCGCGAGCGTCGAGACGTCGAGATCGTCTCCGCGCATCCGCGCGCATCATCACCGGCACCGCTCGCGAGCCGCGAGACTGTGAACCCGAGCTGTGGCAAACAAACAAGCAAGCAAGCAAGCAAGCAAACGAGCGAACACAGGGGTGGCGGGCTTAAAGCGCTCCTCCTTCCGGCCGAATTACACGCCTACGCGCCTAACACCCCCGTAAACTACTGCGCCTAAGAGCTTGGCGTGCGACCGTACTACTCTTTCGGGTCCATCGTAAGTATACTCGTAGATCTGCCGAGCGATCGTAAACTCTCCCGGCGGCTATTGCAAACGGCGACCACACGCACGCATCCCCCAGATGTTCGCACTTAACACGTCCTACGAGTGAACGTTGATTAACGTTCCGGGAATCGAGAACGCGCGCGCGCGCGCGCGCGCGCGACATTCAATTTCATAACAACTAAATTAAATTCTTGATGCGCATACTCGTTAGCTCGCTCGTTAATTGACTTCCCATTGACGCAACATGTGACTTCCTGAATGCTCGCGGTCGCGTCGTGAATTTATGAGACACGTCGGCATGGTCGCGCTAATCACAGGTGACTGTTTTGTGGTCAGTCACATTAACGTGACTGAAGCGACCAAAAATGTAATTCTAAATGCAATTTTATCGATGAAAATAGTTGGCCTGATTTTATATTAAATTTTTTAAGATTTTTCTCGCGTCGAGTCGAAATGTGACTGCATTTCAATATACTTTTCGTAAATCTTGCCGTGGTAGAGATGTAAAAATTTGATGTTTTTAAAAACATATTTTCTAATAATATTTTCTAATAATAATAAATTTGTTGTAATGTAATACAATTCCAATTAATTTTCTTTTATTGGTATTTTATCAACATTAATATTTTATACATGTAACACATTAATGTATTATACATGTAATAAATGTTTGGCTAATTTAAATAGGAATAATAATAATAATTGGAAATTATGCCTAGGGGAGTACTGTAGAAACTGATAAAAATATTCTACATAATAAATCATATTTGTATAATAAGGTATTGTTCTGAACAAATTTTCTATAGAATAAATTACACTTGCGCAATAAAGTATTCTGATGAAATAAAATTTGATGAATATTAACGATATTAATTTTCACACATCCATTTAACGCCTGTTTAATGTACAAATATGTTTCTTGTTGTAATGTGCGCAAAGTTCACCCGTTCATTTTATGTATGACAGAAAAGTACTCCGTCCTATTTAAAGGTTATTAAATTCTACGTTATTCCATGTATTTTATTTTCGTGGATTTACAGTGAGCCGTTTTCAGCAGCAAAACGGCTCGTGTGTGGTGTCAGCTGGTACTCTTTTGACGACGAAATCTACCACGTATGATGCTAAAAGCGTGACAAATTTTAAACTAAAGAGCGAAAAAAACGAACATTTCCGCATATTTCGCATCTTCACAGAAAATTTTATAATATAAAAT